TGGGGGGAGGATAAAAGGGGTGGGGATGGAAGGGAGACAGGGTGGAAAAGTCGAGACAATTTATTTTTTTGGGGGGGAGGGAGGTGGCGGCGTTAGCAATAAGGAGAAAGTGCAGGAAATCTAAGAGCCATAATTCATGTCATGAATACTTACTGTAAGAAGAATTGCAGAAACTGTGATGAAGGAGTTAATATTGAATTCATGTCGTGCATGTTTAATGGGCCCGCGGAGAGTTAACGGTATATTTATTTAACATTGTAGAGCAGGAGGAACGGGCGGACATAAAAATTGCTCTCGGTGTATCCTCTCTTATTTGTAGAATGCGAGTGCTAAATCGAATAATGAGGATTCAGTGGGGTAGACCTTTGTCCGATGTGGTAAAGATAACAGGTTGGCAACGACATTACAGTCGAACCTTCATTTGCGGTTATCTCTTATAGCGGTCATCTATACATATTATATTTGTGACAGTTCGTAACTTTCGCAGCCTAAAACTTCCGAACCACTTAACTTTCGAATTTGACAAAATTAATGTTGGTTCAGAATCATTTAAAGGGTGCCCAGTTTTATTGAGGAGTCTGAAGTCACTAGTTTAATTTTCAGTTTTTCATTCATTTCGTTTAGATCTAATCTTGGGAAAGTCCGTCTTCTAAAACGCCATGGTAAACAAGTGAGGCTTCCGTTCACTAGCCGAGCGCACTGTTTTGAGAGTATAGATCTAAACCTTCTAATTTTTTACATCTCTCAAGATTAATTGCTCCATTCCAGTACAGTGTAAATATCGTAGGCCAATAACTTTCGGCTGATGTTAATGCACCGATCATATCTTTCATCGAAAGGGGGCCCAGCTAGTCTCTTTTAGTGGTCACTTAAGGAAAAAAAAGGTTTACCTCCAAACCTTTATCAAATAGAGTGAGTATTTTCAGTAAATGCTAAAAGCTCTTGGGATAGATTTAAAAAAATTTGATAGAAGTGAAATGAAAAGATTTTTAAAATTCCGATTTCAGATGTGACACAATCTGTTGACTTTGTTAAGTCTAGTCAGTAACCTGAATTAATTCAATCTGTCTATTGCGACCATCTGTATTTTTTCTTTTTCTTTTTTAGTAAGTGTCTTACGGCGCACGCAACTGCATAAGTTCATATGAGCGCGCGGGACACACCAAACATTTTCAGGCGGTAGGAAATTTTGAATTTTGCCCGGGTGGCGGCCGAAGCCTACTTTTATCGTTTTTAGACCACCAAGAGATCTTTATCATGCGCAACTTGCACCCGGGACCTCCGAGATTTTTTGCCCTTGTCCGAGAAGGCTAGGTGTAGATCTTTCCCTCCAGAAGATCAGGGGTGTGGCAGAAAGACAGCAGTAAGGGGGAGCCTGCAAGTAGCAGTAG